ATCATTGTGGGAAAATTCTTCTACCAGTCCTTCATCACCTTACACGAAATAGGGTGAATACATCTCATTTCAATAGTTTATAGACTAAAGATATGTCGATTCGACCTTTTAACGTGTTTTCTTTTAACATTTTCAACCTTTACGGCATAGTTCGCGTCAGGTGAGGAAATGATTGAAAGTTGAATTGTCCCTCAATCGTGTTAGTCGGCCTCACATTTTCACTGAAGTTGCAGTAGCTTTACTTGCAAAAAGGTATTTTCATCCCTGCTCAAATGGGTTGCACCTCAATTTCGACCTCATCTCAAATGGCATCATCAGCATCGCTTAGCGACCATTGAATTCGTGTTGCGCTCGAACAGCGGCTAGACTTGTGGGAAAATTAATCTATCCCTCCTTCAGCACCTTATACGAATTAGACTGGTTGGAATTCTTATTTTACTTTCATGGCTCGTTTCGAGGTCTACTTCATACGAGGTTACTGTGAACTGGTACCCGATCCTGGCTTAAAACCCCACCTATTCGTGGTGGTTCTGACCACTTTTTGGTCTCCTTTCTATTCCCAATTGGGCCCAATGTTGCCATAAAATTCTGCTTTGCCCGCAAACTCAGAATGGTCCCCTCCTCGATGCACGAGTCTCCGACCTGCAGACTCAATTCAAGACACAATACGAGAACGGACAGGCTCTCATGCAGGAGGTGGCCCGACTGCGCGAGCAGGCCTCGATGGCTGAAGAAGAACGCAAGCAGATGACAGTCAGCCTGGACGGCATTCGCATGTTGCAGGCGGCCAACGAAGATCAGCATGAAAGGGTACATGGTACATGGTTTTTTTTTTCTCTTTGTCTTTACTTTTATTTCCACTTTTCTTTTCCGTTGCAACACTGTCAGCATGTTTGAAGAGAGGAGGAACACCTCACCGGTGACATGAGCATGGCCGGTAATCAGGCCCAGATGGGCTCGGCTGTAGAGCCGATGTTGACAAATGTGGTACATTAGCAACACAGGGACAGTAATTGTTGAGCTTACTTCCATTTCGAGTGAAAGTGTTGGGTCGATTCCACCAAAAGACGACGACGGATTCCTCTTGACCAACTGTCGAGAGTGGCCTTGCTGGAGCATTCATGGTGACGCTGTTGCTGAGGTGATCGCATTCGATTCCGGTGAAAATGTGCTAAGCTTTCGTCCGTCACATGACGAACATCATCAGAGCGAGGTATCATCGTCACAACCAAATTCGAGCTAACTAGTCAAGAAAACTCACCGGCAAATCCCTAAAAAGTGGTATATACACTCTACATCTGGCCTCTTTGATGTAGTATAAGGTGATTTGGTTAACTTGACTCGTTAGCGTGAATTTGTTTGTGACGATGATACCTCGCTCTGATGATATTCGCCACATGACGGACGAAAGCTTAGCACCTTTTCACCGGAATCGAAGGAGATTGCTTCGGAAACAGCGTCAGCATTAATCTTCCAGCAAAGCCAATCGACAGTTGGTCAAGAGGAATCCGCCATCGTTTTTTTTTGGTGAAATCGACCTTCATCAAACACTTTCACTCGAAATGGAAGTAAGCTCAACAATTACGAAAATGATCATGACTACTTAGTTACAGGACTCCATGCTGGATGCCTTCATCTAGGCCTCCCTGGCGATACGATCAAGTTGCCAATAAAAGGTTATAATACTTTTAGAGTCGAGTTTGTCTGAATCTAAGCAAAAATCAAGAAAATCAAATTCGAAAAACTGGATTTCGGTCGGTGGGGCATTCCTTTAAACACACTCACCGGCATCTGATGGAAGAGTAAAGCTAAAACCTTCCACCAATCTTTTTATCCTCGACCTAGACATTTTGCAGGAAAGTGATAGTGATGATGATGCATCTGCTTTCAATTCTACTTACTCATTTATTTAGTTCGTTAATTCATTATCTCACATTCACATTCATTCTTATTCTCTCTCTCTCTCTCTCTCTC